ACTTGGGGGTTCTCCATGAAGCGCGAAACGTAACTCACAGCAAAGGCAATGTCCGGTCGTGTCGCGGTCATCAAGTGCATCAGAGCGCCTACTGCTTCACGAAACGGGGCGTCGATTTTAGTTGCTGCGGTACTTGGTATGAGTCGAGAACTAATGTCTGTTGGGCTGGTGACGGCTTTGCAGTCGCTCATGCCAAAACGCTTGAGAACATCTTCCACGTAGCGTCGCTGGCACATCGTCACGCTACCGTAGTCGTTGTCCACCAGCTCGATGTTGAAAAGACAGCGGCTGTGAAGAAGACACCTCGTCAAGCTGCGTCAAGTGTTGAAGCAAGTGGAAGACCAAGCTTCGCTATACCGGTGGGTACCGGTATGTACCAGTAAGGGCGAAGTCAGGAAATGACGTCATTGGATGACGTCAGTGGGTGACGTCACTGGATGACGTCACTGCGAATAATAGGCTTAGAGGTAGTATTCAAAGTTGCGAACTAAGTACCTATTATAAATATATATTCACTTTGCGTTTTGCACTCGGACCAAGAAGTCTAAAGTTCATCAGGTTATGAGCCCAAGTTCGTCAGACTCTGAAACCGCCAACAATTCAAGCTTAGCTGCCATGGACGCCTCCTCCCTCCGCATCTCCAAGTTCGATGGAACTAACTTCCACGCCTGGAATTTCAAGATGCAGATGGTGCTGGAGGAACGGGACCTGTGGGAGGTCGTCAGCGGTGAGATCAAGGCAGAACAGTGCGAGACTCAGTTGGACCAAGCGACGTACAAGAGGAAGTCAAGAAAGGCGATGGCAGTGATCTGTCTAGCCATGGAAGATTCCCAGCTACCGTTGGTCCGGTCGGCAAGTGGTGCATGCGACGCATGGTCAATGTTGGAAGACCACTTCGAGAAAAAGAGTCTTGCCAACAAGCTGTTCTTGCGCCGTCGCTTCTTCACGACAATGATGGAAGAAGGCGACGATGTGCTCGAACACATCAACAAGCTCAAGACGCTGGCGGAACAGCTAGAAGCGGTGGGGGCTCCAGTCTGCGAGGACGATCTGGTGATCACACTTCTCGGCAGCCTGAGTGACTCGTATCAATTCTTGATCACAGCTTTGGAGTCGCGCTCAGACACTCTTAGCTGGGAGCTCGTGACGTCTCGACTGCTTCATGAAGAAATGAAGCGGAAGGAGCAAGGAAGTAAAGGTGATGAAGCTTCGCAAGGTCAAGCGTTCATCACAAGGGACAATCAGCGCAAAGGGCGACCAGTGAAGAAGTCCTGGCCGTGCCACAATTGCGGAAAGATTGGTCACTGGATGGCGGAGTGCCCCTTGCGCATCCAAGAAAACACGGAGAGACACCGGCCACAGCGTGCTCAAGACAGCGGCGACCGCTATCGATCACAACGTGCAAACGTCGCTCAAGAAGAAGACTCGGGCGACTACCTCTTTTCGATCGGTGAAACGACATCTGCGAAATCGAGCGACATCTGGCTGGTCGACTCCGGGGCGACGCAGCACATGACGTGCTCCAAGAAGTTCATGCGGAACTACAAGGGGTTTGACGCTGTGGATGTCCATCTCGCGGATGATGGAATCATCCAAGCAATCGGCAGTGGGGACATTGTCATGTCGATGAAGACACCCCAAGGGATGAAGAAAGGTGTGCTCACAAACGTGTGGCACATCCCAAAGTTATCCAGAAACCTGTTCTCGGTCGGCCGCTTCACCAAGGATGTCGGCCCAGTGACGTTCACGAAGGATGGGTGCTATGGAGAAGCGAAAGGGACCAAGTGGAAAATTGGTGCCCGTGAAGGTAAAGGACTGTTCAAGCTGCAAATGACTCCAGTGGCGCCGGAACAAGCAAATGCAGCCAAGTCGTCGGGATGTCAAGGGGGCACCAAGTCGTACCTCTGGCACCTTCGGCTTGGCCACATAGGTCACGATGGACTCAATTGCATCGTGACGAAGAACATTGGAATTGGCATCGACATATCTTCGGTGAAGAAGTGGGACGTGTGTGAAGGTTGTGCTCTGGGAAAACAGACTCGAGTGCGCTTCCAATCAAACACTACAGCTCGCACCTCCAAACTCCTCGAAGTGATTCACAGCGACGTATGCGGACCTATGTCGATGGCAACTTTCAGTGGAAAACGGTACTTCGTGACATTCATCGATGACAAGTCAAGATACTGTGTCGTCTATCTGCTCAAGAGCAAATCTGAAGTTGCGGCGAAGTTCATGGAATACGCTGCGATGGCCGAAACGCAAACCGGAAAGCGCGTGAAGTACCTTCAAAGCGACAATGGGGGTGAATACAAGTCCGACAAGCTGGCACGATTCTGCGCGGAACGGGGAATACAACAAAGGTTCACACCCCCATATACCCCTCAGCTAAACGAAGTAGCTGAGAGAATGAATCGCACGCTGGTCGAGTGTGCGCGTTGCATGATGGAACACGCTGGACTGGGAAAGAGCTACTGGGGTGAAGCAGTGATGACGGCGATGTTTCTTCGAAACCGCTGTCCAACACGTGCCATTCACCAAGACAAGTCTCCATATCAAGTGTAGACGATGCAGAAACCGATTCTGGCCAACCTTAAAGTGTTTGGATGCCACGCGTATGTTTAAGCCTCAAGACAAACGCGCGAAGTTCGACTCCAAGTCATCACTCTGTCGTTTCCTGGGATACGCCGAACACCAGAAGTCATATCGATTTGAGGAAGTGTCAACAGGAGCGATCAAGATCAGTCGCGATGCCACATTCATGGAAGACAAGTTTGATGAAGGTCCGCGCAACTACAACGATGAGTCAAGTGCCGTTGAGTTTGATGATCAAGACGAGGACGAAGAAAAAGAAGAAGGTAAAACTGACGACGACATGGACTCGAGCGACGATGACAACGAAGACACCAGGTCTTCGAAGAGCAACATCAAGAGACACACGCGCACTCAATCACTTGAGAAAGCTACCGTCATTCCAAGTCCCAAGCGAAGAACGTACAGAGGTCCGTCGCTTGAGCATGTGTCAGCGGCTGCAATGGATTTTGAAGCAGCCTACATCGTTGATTCAGTGGGGGAAACGCCGACTGCATTCAAGTCGGCGATGGAATCAAGCGACTCCGGCAAGTGGAAAGAAGCGTGTGACTCGGAGTTTGACTCGCTTCAGAGAAACGACACGTGGGAAATCGTGCCTCTTCCGAAAGGTCGCAAGGCCATCGGGTGCCGATGGGTTTTTCGTGTAAAGGAGAATCAAGATGGCGAAGTTGAACGTTTCAAGGCAAGACTTGTGGCCAAAGGATTCTCACAGAAATTCGGAGTTGACTATGAAGAAACTTTCGCACCGGTGGCCAAGTTCACATCGATTCGTGTGGTGCTCAGTATGGCGGCCAAGTACGGCCTAATGCTACATCAGATGGACGTCAAGACAGGGTTTCTTAACGGCTCCCTCAACGAAGACATCTACATGGACCAGCCGGACGGATACCTGGATGCAACACAGCCGGACTATGTGTGCAAGCTAAAGAGATCACTCTACGGCTTGAAGCAATCGCCTCGCATGTGGAACCAAACAATCGATGGGTTCATGATCAAGATGGGATTCAAGAAGTGCGAATCGGACCACTGCATCTACATCAAGCGAGACGACCAAGACATGATTCTCGTGGTGCTCTACGTCGATGATCTCATCCTGGCCAGCAGCAACAACGAACTCCTCAAGTCGACCAAGATGGCGCTGAGCAAACGCTTCGAAATGACGGATCTCGGTGAGCTCGATTACTTTCTCGGCATGGAGATCAAGAACGACCGTAAGACGGGAATGGTGACTGTGCAACAAACCAAGTTTCTCAAGTCCGTGTTGACCAAGTTCGGAATGGATAACAGCAAGCCAGTGAAGACGCCTCAAGATCCCGGCCTGAAGCTAACCAAGAACATGTGTGAACAAGAATGCAAGCACGAAGACACCATGTGCAACGTGCCATATCGAAGTGCTGTCGGAGGCATCATGTATCTCATGGTCGCCACACGTCCGGATCTAGCTGCTGCAGTGGGATCATTATCCCAGTTCTCGTCCGACCCATGCCCGACTCACTGGCAAGCTTTGAAGCGTGTGCTGAGATACCTGCAAGCAACGCCCAATCATGGTCTTGAGTTTACACGTGAAGAAGGAAGCCGTATCTGCGGGTACACCGACGCAGACTGGGCCGGCGACATTGAGTCAAGACGAAGTACAAGCGGCTATGTGTTCATGATGAGCGGAGGATGCATCAGCTGGAAAAGCCAGAAACAACGGACGGTCGCGCTATCTTCAACAGAAGCAGAATACATGGCGCTTTCCGAAGCAACCAAAGAAGCAGTATGGCTCAAGGTGCTTTTGGGGGAACTTGGTGAGATGACAAGCGACGAAGCGATCAAGATGTATGAAGACAACCAAGGATCAATCGCTCTCGCCAAGAACCCGGAGTTCCATAAGAGAACAAAACACATCGACATACGCTACCATTTTGTGCGTGAGAAGGTGGAATCAGGTGAAGTCGTTTTGGAGTATTGCCCGACTCAAGATATGCTGGCAGACATGATGACCAAGCCGATCGCCGCTGTACAATTTGAAAACATTCGCGATCGACTTGGGATCCAAGGTGCCGCAGCTAACGAGTCGAGAGGGAGTGTTGAAAAGACAGCGGCTGTGAAGAAGACACCTCGTCAAGCTGCGTCAAGTGTTGAAGCAAGTGGAAGACCAAGCTTCGCTATACCGGTGGGTACCGGTATGTACCAGTAAGGGCGAAGTCAGGAAATGACGTCATTGGATGATGTCAGTGGGTGACGTCACTGGATGACGTCACTGCGAATAATAGGCTTAGAGGTAGTATTCAAAGTTGCGAACTAAGTACCTATTATAAATATATATTCACTTTGCGTTTTGCACTCGGACCAAGAAGTCTAAAGTTCATCACTCGATGCCCAACACGAATGCGTACTTGCCGCTGTCGGTCATTTCGAAACACTCCTTCAAGTCACTCTTGGTGCGCATAATCAGTTCGGTTGAGCTGCCAGTCACCAACACATCATCGACGTATACCAGCAAAAGCACGCACTCGCCACTTGTAATCTTGAGATAAAAACACGGGTCAAAATCGGAGACTTGAAATCCAATGGAGCAGACAAACTCATGAAAAGTCTCGTTCCATACGCGCGATGCTTGTTTTAGTCCGTAGATCGCCTTGACCAGTTCAAAGCAGTCAAAGTCTTCATCAACTTCGACTCCTTCTGGGATCGCGCAGAATACCTTTTCCTTCATTTCTCCGTAAAGGAAAGCTGTCACCACGTCCAGTTGGTCCAGTGTCCAGCCAAAGTACTTCGTGATTGCAACCACCATGCGCAGCGTCACGTACTTGACTACCGGCGAAAACTGTTGACGGTCATCGGTTTCTACCAGTATTGGTAACCGTGACCGGTCCAATCCGAACCGCCTGTTCAGCTTAGTATTTACGACGTAGTTCTTACGGTAATTACCATAGTTGATTAGACGCGTAGGATGATGAGACGCTTCACATGATTTATATGTGCACCACATATAAATCATGTAGTAAGTAGTAAGCCCCGATAATCAATCACTTTCCAATCTTCCATCTACCCCCAAGTGTCTTCTCCGGTCTTCCGAGTGGACTACCAGCATCACTCCCAGTTTCGGTCGTCAAGCTTTTCACCCCTCAATAGGTTATGAGCCCAAGCACGATGTCCTCTGCTCATGATGCCACCACCAAGATCTCCATTGACAAGTTCGACGGCGATAACTACGCGACGTGGAGCCGCTACATGCGTGGCGTGTTCCTGACCAAGTCGGCGTGGCACGTGGTGAACCGGGAGACCACCCCCACCTTCGCCGACCCTCGCGCCAGTGACGACTACGTCAAGACGAACAACATTGCGTTCGGCTTGATGCTGCTGCACATGAGCGCAGATTATCATCACGTGGTTGATGACTGTGAAGAGGCGTGGGTCGCATGGGCGCGTTTGAAGACGCTGTACGGCGGGTCGCAGAAGGCTGGACGCATCTACTTGAAGCGCCAGCTGTTCAGCATGGAGATGGCGGAAGGCGGCAATGTGATGCATCATTGCAACGAAGTCCTCAACATCAGCGCGAAGCTCAGCAGCATCGGCGCCAAGATGGAGGACGAGGACGTGGCGATCTGCTTGTTGCGCAGCCTCCCCAAGAGCTACGAGAACGTCGTTCTCAACTTGGAGATGAGCAGCGCGGAACTACGATCGCGAGACGTCGTGAGAGTGCTCACGAAGGAGCACATCAAGAGGCAAGGTGACAAGACGACATCGGTGAAGACTGAAGACGCGGCGAAGGCGTTCAGTACCGAGCGTGAACCTCGCCAGTGTGCATACTGCGGAAAATTGGGGCACACGGCGGAGCGGTGCTGGACCAAGCAGAAGGACGAAAATCAAGGTGGAGCTCGACGCGGCGGCAACAAGGCTCGTGGACGCGGAGCCAACAACGTTCAGTGGCGAACCAACAACAACAACGACGACAACTACGATCGAGTTGCGTTCGCGGTTTCGCTGGAGGCTGGACTTTCGACGGGCAAGAATATGCCAGGGATGTGGGCAGTCGACAGCGGTGCGACGCATCACATCTGCAACGACAAAGCCAAGTTTGCAAGCCTGAATGAGCGAGAGGAAGGCGAACTATCAGTGGCTGATGGCAGCAAGGCTGCGATCAAGGGTGTGGGAACCATCATGGAACGGGTGGTTCTGCCCAATGGTGACGAACGCGACATCGAGATCAAGGACGCACTGTTCGTACCAAGTATGAGCAAGAATCTGCTTTCGGTGCCACAGATCAACAAGGGTGGCAGGTTCCAAGTCGTGTTCGATGGGTCCAAGATGCAAGTGAAGCGCAAGAATTCCACACAAGTCGTGGCAACAGCGGATCTCGTCGATGGACTTTACTGGCTGCGGACTCCTCAACGATCGGCGAATGCAGCAACACGCAATGGGACTATCGACTTGCATGCGCGCATGGGTCATGCACCCATTGAAGTTCTGCGCAAGATGGTGGCCACTGGCATGATCAAGGACGCCAAGGCACCTCTCAACTCGACTGGTCCAAGTGTGTGTCGCGGTTGCCAGCAAGGAAAGATGGTCCAAAAACCATTCCCAACCAACCGTGACAAACGCCAATATGGTGTGTTCGAGTTGCTGCACTTCGACATCTGCGGGCCAATGGAACAAGTCTCGATCGGCGGCAGCAGATACTTACTGCTTGTGGTTGACGAAGCTAGCGGTTGCATGAAGGGCTTCTGTCTGCGGTCCAAGTCTGAGAGTGAAGACTGTATCAAGAACCACATCATCAAGATTCAAACTCAGTTCGGCACGAAGATCAAGTTTGTTCGGCACGATGGAGCGCATGAGTTTGCGACCAACTCCATCAAGACCTTCTACGAAGATCATGGGATCAAACAACAAGTCACGGTGCCGTATGCACACCAGACCAACGGCACCGCAGAACGCGCGATAAGGACCATCGTCACGATCGGACGCAGCTTGTTGCATCATGCAAAGCTGGAGAAGTGTTTCTGGGCTGAAGCGGCAATGACGGCGATCTACATCAAGAACCGCCTGCCTTCACCCAAGATCGACCACAAGACTCCGTTCGAGATCGTGTACAAGTCGAAACCAAGTGTCAAGCACATGCGCGTGTTTGGATGTCGGGCGTTTATCCTGAAACCAAGGGAGAAGCGATTGAAGTGGGACCCGAAGGCTCGTGAAGGGATCCCACTTCAATCGCGTGTGGATGAGGGAGCAGGGGAGCTGGAGTATGTTGTAGCGCGAGGAGTGATGTGGAGATACGAGTAGGAGTGTCTGCAGTAGCACCAGTAATAAATCATTAAGATTTAAGCCATCTCCAAATCCACTCGTCAATGCCAGCGAAACGCCAAACCGAAGCCATCCCCCCAAATCCCTCGAATGCCACCGTAACACCAAAGGTCGAAGCGCATTCTTTAATCCCTCGAATACCACCGAACACCAAGATCAAGCGCAGAACTAAGATGGAGTGGGTGACGTGCGAGAGGTGTGGAAATGGGAGCTTGGTAGAACCGGGAGGCAGGAGTAGACAGCGCCGCAGGGAAGCAAAGAAGGAGATCCGCTCACACGCCGCGGTAGGCTCTGGGTTATCCGGACTTCAAGTGAAGTTGCAGGCCTACGCGGGGGGATCTCTGGACTTCAGACGAACTTGCAGGCCTACGCGGGGGGATCTCTGGACTTCAGACGAACTTGCAGGCCTACGCGGGGGGATCTCTGGACTTCAGACGAACTTGCAGGCCTACGCGGGGGGATCTCTGGACTTCAGACGAACTTGCAGGCCTACGCGGGGGGATGTCCGCATCTCCGGATGTCTAGTGGCACGTTTTCCAACTGCATGACGGGGAGAAGCAGGAGATCCGGACTGCAAGCCTGTCCAGATGTGAACCAACAGGGTAGAGGGCGCATGGTATTTTGCGCTCTGGTGGGTGGTTGCTTGTTGTTGGTAGGTGGTTGCTGCGGGTGCATCTTCGCGTGTGGATGAGGGAGCAGGGGAGCTGGACTCAACCCAACCTCTCAGCGAGATCGACATCTCCCAAGGCCGTTACGAAGAGCTCAAGCCAGCCCAACCGACGGGTACACAAGGTGAGCACAAGGTCATACAACAAGGCACGGATCGGAGTACCCCCTCCGTGAGTCGGCAAGCCTGGGCAAGTGGAAGATCGACACTCATACAAGCAATTTTGTGAGATCGACTTCACCACACAGCCTCCCCAAGAGCTACGAGAACGTCGTTCTCAACTTGGAGATGAGCAGCGCGGAACTACGATCGCGAGACGTCGTGAGAGTGCTCACGAAGGAGCACATCAAGAGGCAAGGTGACAAGACGACATCGGTGAAGACTGAAGACGCGGCCAAGGCGTTCAGTACCGAGCGTGAACCTCGCCAGTGTGCATACTGCGGAAAATTGGGGCACACGGCGGAGCGGTGCTGGACCAAGCAGAAGGACGAAAATCAAGGTGGAGCTCGACGCGGCGGCAACAAGGCTCGTGGACGCGGAGCCAACAACGTTCAGTGGCGAACCAACAACAACAACGACGACAACTACGATCGAGTTGCGTTCGCGGTTTCGCTGGAGGCTGGACTTTCGACGGGCAAGAATATGCCAGGGATGTGGGCAGTCGACAGCGGTGCGACGCATCACATCTGCAACGACAAAGCCAAGTTTGCAAGCCTGAATGAGCGAGAGGAAGGCGAACTATCAGTGGCTGATGGCAGCAAGGCTGCGATCAAGGGTGTGGGAACCATCATGGAACGGGTGGTTCTGCCCAATGGTGACGAACGCGACATCGAGATCAAGGACGCACTGTTCGTACCAAGTATGAGCAAGAATCTGCTTTCGGTGCCACAGATCAACAAGGGTGGCAGGTTCCAAGTCGTGTTCGATGGGTCCAAGATGCAAGTGAAGCGCAAGAATTCCACACAAGTCGTGGCAACAGCGGATCTCGTCGATGGACTTTACTGGCTGCGGACTCCTCAACGATCGGCGAATGCAGCAACACGCAATGGGACTATCGACTTGCATGCGCGCATGGGTCATGCACCCATTGAAGTTCTGCGCAAGATGGTGGCCACTGGCATGATCAAGGACGCCAAGGCACCTCTCAACTCGACTGGTCCAAGTGTGTGTCGCGGTTGCCAGCAAGGAAAGATGGTCCAAAAACCATTCCCAACCAACCGTGACAAACGCCAATATGGTGTGTTCGAGTTGCTGCACTTCGACATCTGCGGGCCAATGGAACAAGTCTCGATCGGCGGCAGCAGATACTTACTGCTTGTGGTTGACGAAGCTAGCGGTTGCATGAAGGGCTTCTGTCTGCGGTCCAAGTCTGAGAGTGAAGACTGTATCAAGAACCACATCATCAAGATTCAAACTCAGTTCGGCACGAAGATCAAGTTTGTTCGGCACGATGGAGCGCATGAGTTTGCGACCAACTCCATCAAGACCTTCTACGAAGATCATGGGATCAAACAACAAGTCACGGTGCCGTATGCACACCAGACCAACGGCACCGCAGAACGCGCGATAAGGACCATCGTCACGATCGGACGCAGCTTGTTGCATCATGCAAAGCTGGAGAAGTGTTTCTGGGCTGAAGCGGCAATGACGGCGATCTACATCAAGAACCGCCTGCCTTCACCCAAGATCGACCACAAGACTCCGTTCGAGATCGTGTACAAGTCGAAACCAAGTGTCAAGCACATGCGCGTGTTTGGATGTCGGGCGTTTATCCTGACACCAAGGGAGAAGCGATTGAAGTGGGACCCGAAGGCTCGTGAAGGGATCCCACTTCAATCGCGTGTGGATGAGGGAGCAGGGGAGCTGGAGTATGTTGTAGCGCGAGGAGTGATGTGGAGATACGAGTAGGAGTGTCTGCAGTAGCACCAGTAATAAATCATTAAGATTTAAGCCATCTCCAAATCCACTCGTCAATGCCAGCGAAACGCCAAACCGAAGCCATCCCCCCAAATCCCTCGAATGCCACCGTAACACCAAAGGTCGAAGCGCATTCTTTAATCCCTCGAATACCACCGAACACCAAGATCAAGCGCAGAACTAAGATGGAGTGGGTGACGTGCGAGAGGTGTGGAAATGGGAGCTTGGTAGAACCGGGAGGCAGGAGTAGACAGCGCCGCAGGGAAGCAAAGAAGGAGATCCGCTCACACGCCGCGGTAGGCTCTGGGTTATCCGGACTTCAAGTGAAGTTGCAGGCCTACGCGGGGGGATCTCTGGACTTCAGACGAACTTGCAGGCCTACGCGGGGGGGATCTCTGGACTTCAGACGAACTTGCAGGCCTACGCGGGGGATCTCTGGACTTCAGACGAACTTGCAGGCCTACGCGGGGGGATCTCTGGACTTCAGACGAACTTGCAGGCCTACGCGGGGGGATGTCCGCATCTCCGGATGTCTAGTGGCACGTTTTCCAACTGCATGACGGGGAGAAGCAGGAGATCCGGACTGCAAGCCTGTCCAGATGTGAACCAACAGGGTAGAGGGCGCATGGTATTTTGCGCTCTGGTGGGTGGTTGCTTGTTGTTGGTAGGTGGTTGCTGCGGGTGCATCTTCGCGTGTGGATGAGGGAGCAGGGGAGCTGGACTCAACCCAACCTCTCAGCGAGATCGACATCTCCCAAGGCCGTTACGAAGAGCTCAAGCCAGCCCAACCGACGGGTACACAAGGTGAGCACAAGGTCATACAACAAGGCACGGATCGGAGTACCCCCTCCGTGAGTCGGCAAGCCTGGGCAAGTGGAAGATCGACAATCATACAAGCAATTTTGTGAGATCGACTTCACCACACAGCCTCCCCAAGAGCTACGAGAACGTCGTTCTCAACTTGGAGATGAGCAGCGCGGAACTACGATCGCGAGACGTCGTGAGAGTGCTCACGAAGGAGCACATCAAGAGGCAAGGTGACAAGACGACATCGGTGAAGACTGAAGACGCGGCGAAGGCGTTCAGTACCGAGCGTGAACCTCGCCAGTGTGCATACTGCGGAAAATTGGGGCACACGGCGGAGCGGTGCTGGACCAAGCAGAAGGACGAAAATCAAGGTGGAGCTCGACGCGGCGGCAACAAGGCTCGTGGACGCGGAGCCAACAACGTTCAGTGGCGAACCAACAACAACAACGACGACAACTACGATCGAGTTGCGTTCGCGGTTTCGCTGGAGGCTGGACTTTCGACGGGCAAGAATATGCCAGGGATGTGGGCAGTCGACAGCGGTGCGACGCATCACATCTGCAACGACAAAGCCAAGTTTGCAAGCCTGAATGAGCGAGAGGAAGGCGAACTATCAGTGGCTGATGGCAGCAAGGCTGCGATCAAGGGTGTTGGAACCATCATGGAACGGGTGGTTCTGCCCAATGGTGACGAACGCGACATCGAGATCAAGGACGCACTGTTCGTACCAAGTATGAGCAAGAATCTGCTTTCGGTGCCACAGATCAACAAGGGTGGCAGGTTCCAAGTCGTGTTCGATGGGTCCAAGATGCAAGTGAAGCGCAAGAATTCCACACAAGTCGTGGCAACAGCGGATCTCGTCGATGGACTTTACTGGCTGCGGACTCCTCAACGATCGGCGAATGCAGCAACACGCAATGGGACTATCGACTTGCATGCGCGCATGGGTCATGCACCCATTGAAGTTCTGCGCAAGATGGTGGCCACTGGCATGATCAAGGACGCCAAGGCACCTCTCAACTCGACTGGTCCAAGTGTGTGTCGCGGTTGCCAGCAAGGAAAGATGGTCCAAAAACCATTCCCAACCAACCGTGACAAACGCCAATATGGTGTGTTCGAGTTGCTGCACTTCGACATCTGCGGGCCAATGGAACAAGTCTCGATCGGCGGCAGCAGATACTTACTGCTTGTGGTTGACGAAGCCAGCGGTTGCATGAAGGGCTTCTGTCTGCGGTCCAAGTCTGAGAGTGAAGACTGTATCAAGAACCACATCATCAAGATTCAAACTCAGTTCGGCACGAAGATCAAGTTTGTTCGGCACGATGGAGCGCATGAGTTTGCGACCAACTCCATCAAGACCTTCTACGAAGATCATGGGATCAAACAACAAGTCACGGTGCCGTATGCACACCAGACCAACGGCACCGCAGAACGCGCGATAAGGACCATCGTCACGATCGGACGCAGCTTGTTGCATCATGCAAAGCTGGAGAAGTGTTTCTGGGCTGAAGCGGCAATGACGGCGATCTACATCAAGAACCGCCTGCCTTCACCCAAGATCGACCACAAGACTCCGTTCGAGATCGTGTACAAGTCGAAACCAAGTGTCAAGCACATGCGCGTGTTTGGATGTCGGGCGTTTATCCTGACACCAAGGGAGAAGCGATTGAAGTGGGACCCGAAGGCTCGTGAAGGGATCCCACTTCAATCGCGTGTGGATGAGGGAGCAGGGGAGCTGGAGTATGTTGTAGCGCGAGGAGTGATGTGGAGATACGAGTAGGAGTGTCTGCAGTAGCACCAGTAATAAATCATTAAGATTTAAGCCATCTCCAAATCCACTCGTCAATGCCAGCGAAACGCCAAACCGAAGCCATCCCCCAAATCCCTCGAATGCCACCGTAACACCAAAGGTCGAAGCGCATTCTTTAATCCCTCGAATACCACCGAACACCAAGATCAAGCGCAGAACTAAGATGGAGTGGGTGACGTGCGAGAGGTGTGGAAATGGGAGCTTGGTAGAACCGGGAGGCAGGAGTAGACAGCGCCGCAGGGAAGCAAAGAAGGAGATCCGCTCACACGCCGCGGTAGGCTCTGGGTTATCCGGACTTCAAGTGAAGTTGCAGGCCTACGCGGGGGGATCTCTGGACTTCAGACGAACTTGCAGGCCTACGCGGGGGATCTCTGGACTTCAGACGAACTTGCAGGCCTACGCGGGGGATCTCTGGACTTCAGACGAACTTGCAGGCCTACGCGGGGGGATCTCTGGACTTCAGACGAACTTGCAGGCCTACGCGGGGGGATCTCTGGACTTCAGACGAACTTGCAGGCCTACGCGGGGGGATGTCCGCATCTCCGGATGTCTAGTGGCACGTTTTCCAACTGCATGACGGGGAGAAGCAGGAGATCCGGACTGCAAGCCTGTCCAGATGTGAACCAACAGGGTAGAGGGCGCATGGTATTTTGCGCTCTGGTGGGTGGTTGCTTGTTGTTGGTAGGTGGTTGCTGCGGGTGCATCTTCGCGTGTGGATGAGGGAGCAGGGGAGCTGGACTCAACCCAACCTCTCAGCGAGATCGACATCTCCCAAGGCCGTTACGAAGAGCTCAAGCCAGCCCAACCGACGGGTACACAAGGTGAGCACAAGGTCATACAACAAGGCACGGATCGGAGTACCCCCTCCGTGAGTCGGCAAGCCTGGGCAAGTGGAAGATCGACACTCATACAAGCAATTTTGTGAGATCGACTTCACCACACAGCCTCCCCAAGAGCTACGAGAACGTCGTTCTCAACTTGGAGATGAGCAGCGCGGAACTACGATCGCGAGACGTCGTGAGAGTGCTCACGAAGGAGCACATCAAGAGGCAAGGTGACAAGACGACATCGGTGAAGACTGAAGACGCGGCCAAGGCGTTCAGTACCGAGCGTGAACCTCGCCAGTGTGCATACTGCGGAAAATTGGGGCACACGGCGGAGCGGTGCTGGACCAAGCAGAAGGACGAAAATCAAGGTGGAGCTCGACGCGGCGGCAACAAGGCTCGTGGACGCGGAGCCAACAACGTTCAGTGGCGAACCAACAACAACAACGACGACAACTACGATCGAGTTGCGTTCGCGGTTTCGCTGGAGGCTGGACTTTCGACGGGCAAGAATATGCCAGGGATGTGGGCAGTCGACAGCGGTGCGACGCATCACATCTGCAACGACAAAGCCAAGTTTGCAAGCCTGAATGAGCGAGAGGAAGGCGAACTATCAGTGGCTGATGGCAGCAAGGCTGCGATCAAGGGTGTGGGAACCATCATGGAACGGGTGGTTCTGCCCAATGGTGACGAACGCGACATCGAGATCAAGGACGCACTGTTCGTACCAAGTATGAGCAAGAATCTGCTTTCGGTGCCACAGATCAACAAGGGTGGCAGGTTCCAAGTCGTGTTCGATGGGTCCAAGATGCAAGTGAAGCGCAAGAATTCCACACAAGTCGTGGCAACAGCGGATCTCGTCGATGGACTTTACTGGCTGCGGACTCCTCAACGATCGGCGAATGCAGCAACACGCAATGGGACTATCGACTTGCATGCGCGCATGGGTCATGCACCCATTGAAGTTCTGCGCAAGATGGTGGCCACTGGCATGATCAAGGACGCCAAGGCACCTCTCAACTCGACTGGTCCAAGTGTGTGTCGCGGTTGCCAGCAAGGAAAGATGGTCCAAAAACCATTCCCAACCAACCGTGACAAACGCCAATATGGTGTGTTCGAGTTGCTGCACTTCGACATCTGCGGGCCAATGGAACAAGTCTCGATCGGCGGCAGCAGATACTTACTGCTTGTGGTTGACGAAGCTAGCGGTTGCATGAAGGGCTTCTGTCTGCGGTCCAAGTCTGAGAGTGAAGACTGTATCAAGAACCACATCATCAAGATTCAAACTCAGTTCGGCACGAAGATCAAGTTTGTTCGGCACGATGGAGCGCATGAGTTTGCGACCAACTCCATCAAGACCTTCTACGAAGATCATGGGATCAAACAACAAGTCACGGTGCCGTATGCACACCAGACCAACGGCACCGCAGAACGCGCGATAAGGACCATCGTCACGATCGGACGCAGCTTGTTGCATCATGCAAAGCTGGAGAAGTGTTTCTGGGCTGAAGCGGCAATGACGGCGATCTACATCAAGAACCGCCTGCCTTCACCCAAGATCGACCACAAGACTCCGTTCGAGATCGTGTACAAGTCGAAACCAAGTGTCAAGCACATGCGCGTGTTTGGATGTCGGGCGTTTATCCTGACACCAAGGGAGAAGCGATTGAAGTGGGACCCGAAGGCTCGTGAAGGGATCCCACTTCAATCGCGTGTGGATGAGGGAGCAGGGGAGCTGGAGTATGTTGTAGCGCGAGGAGTGATGTGGAGATACGAGTAGGAGTGTCTGCAGTAGCACCAGTAATAAATCATTAAGATTTAAGCCATCTCCAAATCCACTCGTCAATGCCAGCGAAACGCCAAACCGAAGCCATCCCCCCCAAATCCCTCGAATGCCACCGTAACACCAAAGGTCGAAGCGCATTCTTTAATCCCTCGAATACCACCGAACACCAAGATCAAGCGCAGAACTAAGATGGAGTGGGTGACGTGCGAGAGGTGTGGAAATGGGAGCTTGGTAGAACCGGGAGGCAGGAGTAGACAGCGCCGCAGGGAAGCAAAGAAGGAGATCCGCTCACACGCCGCGGTAGGCTCTGGGTTATCCGGACTTCAAGTGAAGTTGCAGGCCTACGCGGGGGGATCTCTGGACTTCAGACGAACTTGCAGGCCTACGCGGGGGGATCTCTGGACTTCAGACGAACTTGCAGGCCTACGCGGGGGGATCTCTGGACTTCAGACGAACTTGCAGGCCTACGCGGGGGATCTCTGGACTTCAGACGAACTTGCAGGCCTACGCGGGGGGATGTCCGCATCTCCGGATGTCTAGTGGCACGTTTTCCAACTGCATGACGGGGAGAAGCAGGAGATCCGGACTGCAAGCCTGTCCAGATGTGAACCAACAGGGTAGAGGGCGCATGGTATTTTGCGCTCTGGTGGGTGGTTGCTTGTTGTTGGTAGGTGGTTGCTGCGGGTGCATCTTCGCGTGTGGATGAGGGAGCAGGGGAGCTGGACTCAACCCAACCTCTCAGCGAGATCGACATCTCCCAAGGCCGTTACGAAGAGCTCAAGCCAGCCCAACCGACGGGTACACAAGGTGAGCACAAGGTCATACAACAAGGCACGGATCGGAGTACCCCCTCCGTGAGTCGGCAAGCCTGGGCAAGTGGAAGATCGACACTCATACAAGCAATTTTGTGAGATCGACTTCACCACACAGCCTCCCCAAGAGCTACGAGAACGTCGTTCTCAACTTGGAGATGAGCAGCGCGGAACTACGATCGCGAGACGTCGTGAGAGTGCTCACGAAGGAGCACATCAAGAGGCAAGGTGACAAGACGACATCGGTGAAGACTGAAGACGCGGCCAAGGCGTTCAGTACCGAGCGTGAACCTCGCCAGTGTGCATACTGCGGAAAATTGGGGCATACGGAGGACCGATGATGGACCAAGCAGAAGGACGAAAATCAAGGTGGAGCTCGACGCGGCGGCAACAAGGCTCGTGGACGCGGAGCCAACAACGTTCAGTGGCGAACCAACAACAACAACGACGACAACTACGATCGAGTTGCGTTCGCGGTTTCGCTGGAGGCTGGACTTTCGACGGGCAAGAATATGCCAGGGATGTGGGCAGTCGACAGCGGTGCAACGCATCACATCTGCAACGACAAAGCCAAGTTTGCAAGCCTGAATGAGCGAGAGGAAGGCGAGCTATCAGTGGCTGATGGCAGCAAGGCTGCGATCAAGGGTGTGGGAACCATCATGGAACGGGTGGTTCTGCCCAATGGTGACGAACGCGACATCGGGATCAAGGACGCACTGTTCGTACCAAGTATGAGCAAGAATCTGCTTTCGGTGCCACAGATCAACAAGGGTGGCAGGTTCCAAGTCGTGTTCGATGGGTCCAAGATGCAAGTGAAGCGCAAGAATTCCACACAAGTCGTGGCAACAGCGGATCTCGTCGATGGACTTTACTGGCTGCGGACTCCTCAACGATCGGCGAATGCAGCAACACGCAATGGGACTATCGACTTGCATGCGCGCATGGGTCATGCACCCATTGAAGTTCTGCGCAAGATGGTGGCCACTGGCATGATCAAGGACGCCAAGGCACCTCTCAACTCGACTGGTCCAAGTGTGTGTCGCGGTTGCCAGCAAGGAAAGATGGTCCAAAAACCATTCCCAACCAACCGTGACAAACGCCAATATGGTGTGTTCGAGTTGCTGCACTTCGACATCTGCGGGCCAATGGAACAAGTCTCGATCGGCGGCAGCAGATACTTACTGCTTGTGGTTGACGAAGCCAGCGGTTGCATGAAGGGCTTCTGTCTGCGGTCCAAGTCTGAGAGTGAAGACTGTATCAAGAACCACATCATCAAGATTCAAACTCAGTTCGGCACGAAGATCAAGTTTGTTCGGCACGATGGAGCGCATGAGTTTGCGACCAACTCCATCAAGACCTTCTACGAAGATCATGGGATCAAACAACAAGTCACGGTGCCGTATGCACACCAGACCAACGGCACCGCAGAACGCGCGATAAGGACCATCGTCACGATCGGACGCAGCTTGTTGCATCATGCAAAGCTGGAGAAGTGTTTCTGGGCTGAAGCGGCAATGACGGCGATCTACATCAAGAACCGCCTGCCCTCACCCAAGATCGACCACAAGACTCCGTTCGAGATCGTGTACAAGTCGAAACCAAGTGTCAAGCACATGCGCGTGTTTGGATGTCGGGCGTTTATCCTGACACCAAGGGAGAAGCGATTGAAGTGGGACCCGAAGGCTCGTGAAGGGATATTCATGGGCTACGAAGAAGCGTCAAAAGCTTATCGAGTGTACGACATTGAGGCGGGCCAAGTGGTGATCAGTCGTGACATCACCTTCGACGAATCGACTTTCGACTTTTCGATGGACCGACCAAGTGACGATGATGAAGATGCGGAGTTGGACCTCGACCTCCTAGCGATCAACGAGGACGACGTGCGTCAAACCGTCTACAAGAAGACTGGCAAGCGCAAGAGTGAAGCAAGACCCGGCATGTCACGTTCAGCTCGCCTCGAACTGGGTTGGAACAAGCAAGTGCGCCGGAACACGTCTCCAACCGTCACCAGAAACGACGATCAAGTGCTCCAGAAACGATGTCTGATGACGAAGAAGATGCAAGCGTCTACGATCAAGATGACGACTCGACGCCTCCAACATTTTGGCGTGCAAGTGCAAACGCAGTGGAAGCAACGGACCTAGCAGAACCTGTGACTTTTCAAGACGCGATCAATGGTCCTGATCAAGATCACTGGCGAAATGCTGTGAAGGCGGAACTCAAGTCGATGCATCTTCGTGGAGTTTTCCGTGCGGCAAAACTACCAAGAGGCCAAGGCGCGATCGGCACCAAGTGGGTGTTCAAGATCAAGCGCAAAGCGGATGGATCGGTCGAGAAGTTCAAGGCGCGCCTTGTTGCGAAGGGATTCAAGCAGAAATACGGCATCAACTACACAGAGACGTTCTCGCCCGTGGTCAAGTACGTGACACTGCGTATGATGATCGCGATCACCAAGTATTTCGACTGGCCACTGGATCAACTCGATGTGGTGACAGCCTTTCTCTACGGAGTGATGAAGGAGAAGGTGTACTGCGTGATACCAGAAGGCGTCGAGATGGATGGCGACTTCGACTGTCTCGAGTTGGTGAAGGCGATCTACGGTCTCAAGCAAGCTTCACGTGTGTGGAACGAGGCTTTCGACGAGTTCGTATGCTCCATCGGTTTCGAAGCGTCGGCGTTCGACCCATGTCTTTACATCAAGGTTGTCGACGGTCACTGTGTGCTCGTGCTGGTCTACGTGGATGACGTGTTGGTCACTGGCAGCTCGCTCGAGTTGATTGCGCAGACGAAGGCCGACCTCAAGACGCGTTTCGAGATGACCGACAGTGGCAAGTGTACTTTTGTACTGGGCATCGAACTGGTGGACGAATCGGATGGCAGCGTGACGATGTGCCAGCGACGGTATGTCAACGACATCCTCAAGCGCTTCGGCATGGATGAGTGCAAGGCCACAGCAAGTCCGGTCGACTTGAGCCCTCGGCTTGTCGCAAGCACCGAAGCGGCCAAGATCGACGTTCCGTTTCGTGAAGCTGTGGGAGCTTTGATGCACTTGACGACTGCGACGCGCCCGGACATTGCGTATGCTGTGGGGTACGTCTCGCGCTTCATGGAGAATCCGCAGCAAGAACATTGGACGGTGGTGAAGCGCATCTTTCGTTACTTGCAAGGGACCGAGTCGCACGGACTCCGTTTCCAGCCAAGCGACAAGATCGACTTTCGTGGCTACTCGGACGCGGACTGGGCCGGCGACCATGCTGATCGCAAATCAACTTCGGGTTACGCGTTCGTACTTCTCGGTGCACCCATAAGTTGAGGAAGCAAGAAGCAGTCAAGCGTGTCACTGTCGACAAGTGAAGCGGAATACATCGCACTAAGTCTGGCCATCCAGGAAGGCAAGTGGGTGCATCGCCTGCTATGCGAGATTTTGGCGGCCGCAAACGAACCAGGACGGGACCTCGTCATCCGTGAAGACAACCAGTCGTGTATCAAGATGACGAAGAACCCGGTGAACCATGGTCGAGCCAAGCATATCGACATCAAGTACCATCACATCCGTGATGAGGTCAAGCGCGGTGAAGTGCAGCTCGAGTATTGCGAGACTTCCATGATGATGGCGGACATCATGACCAAGGGACTTTCGGGACCTCGTCACAAGGACTTGACGACGGCTCTCGGCATTCGTGCGAGTTCGGATTGAGGGGGCGTGTTGACGGTCATCGGTTTCTACCAGTATTGGTAACCGTGACCGGTCCAATCCGAACCGCCTGTTCAGCTTAGTATTTACGACGTAGTTCTTACGGTAATTACCATAGTTGATTAGACGCGTAGGATGATGAGACGCTTCACATGATTTATATGTGCACCACATATAAATCATGTAGTAAGTAGTAAGCCCCGATAATCAATCACTTTCCAATCTTCCATCTACCCCCCAAGTGTCTTCTCCGGTCTTCCGAGTGGACTCCCAGCATCACTTCCAGTTTCGGTCGTCAAGCTTTTTACCATTCAACAAAAACGTTTCCGCGTAGTCGATGTTGACGGTCATCGGTTTTCTACCAGTATTGGTAACCGTGACCGATCCAATCCGAACCGCCTGTTCAGCTTAGTATTTACGACGTAGTTCTTACGGTAATTACCATAGTTGATTAGACGCGTAGGATGATGAGACGCTTCACATGATTTATATGTACACCACATATAAATCATGTAGTAAGTAGTAAGCCCCGATAATCAATCACTTTCGAATCTTCCAACTATTGGGCAAGTGTTTTCTGCTCTACTCTCTTCGGTATCTCCGCTCCGTTTGCTCCGCTTTCCTCGCTCCGATCTACAATGCAACAGGTTATGAGCCCAAGCGCCATGTCGTCCACCAGCAACGCCTCCATTGACAAGTTCAACGGAGACAATTACGCAACGTGGAGCCGGTACATGCGCGGTGTGTTTTTGACGAAGTCCGTCTGGCACGTTGTCAACCGTGAAGTGACTCCGACTTTCACCGACCCGCGAGCGTCCGATGACTACGTCAAGGCAAGCAACGTCGCGTTTGGTATGATGCTGCTGCACATGAACGCGGACTACCATCATGTGCTGGACAACTGCGAGGAAGCCTGGGTTGCGTGGACAAGTCTGAAGACGCTGTACGGTGGGTCGCAGAAGGCAGGACGCATCTACCTCAAGCGACAACTTTTCAGTATCAAGATGGCTGAAGGCGCGAACGTCATGCATCACTGCAACGAGGTCCTCAACATCTCCGCCAAGCTTAGCGGCATCGGTGCGAAGATGGAAGACGAAGACGTTGCAATTTGTCTGCTACTCAGTCTTCCGAAGAGCTACGAAAATGTGGTGCTCAACATGGAAATGAGCAGCACCGAGCTTCGCACTCAAGATGTGGTGAGAGTCCTGACGAATGAGCATGCCAAGCGTCAAGGAGAAAAAGGGACAACGACAGCGACTACGGTGAAGGCTGAAGATGCAAGCAAGGCATTCAGCGCCGAGCGTGAGCCCTACCAATGCACGTATTGTGGCAAGGTGGGACACACGGTGGATCGTTGCTGGACAAAGCAGAAGAACGAAGGTCGGGGAGCCCGACGCGGCGGCAATGGTCGTGGACGCGGGGCTAACAATGTCCAGTGGGGACATCATGATGAAGGCAATGGCTACGATCGAGTGGCGTTTGCAGTCTCGTTCGAATGTGGAGTTTCGACGAGCAAGGACGTGTCTGGAATGTGGGCCGTCGACAGTGGTGCAACGCACCACATTTGCCACGACAAGACCAAGTTCGCAAGTTTGGCAGAGCGCAATGAGGGCGAACTCTTGGTGGCTGATGGCAACAAGGTGGCCATCAAGGGTGTGGGAACCATCATGGAAAAGGTGGTTCTGCCCAACGGTGAAGAGCGTGAGATCGAAATCAAGAACGCGCTATATGTTCCAAGTATGAGCAAGAACCTGCTCTCGGTGCCACAGATTAACAGCCATGGCAAGTTTCAAGTCGTTTTTGACGGGTCCAAGATGTATGTGACTCTCAAGAACTCACAGCAAGTGGTGGCGACAGCGGATCTCGTGGATGAACTCTACTGGCTTCGGACGACTCAACGATCAGCGAATGTGACAACAAGTGGAACCAGTTGTGCCGATCTACATGCGAGAATGGGTCATGCTCCAGTCGATGTACTTCGCAAGATGATCGCGACCAACATGATCAAGGATGTGCGAGTCCCTCTCAAGTCGGGTGGAGCAACTACATGTCGAGGATGTCAACAAGGGAAAATGGTCCAAAAACCATTTCCAAGCAACCGAGACAAGCGCAGCTACGATACGTTTGAGCTACTTCATCTGGACATCTGCGGGCCCATGGAAAAGGATTCGCTCGGTGGCAGCAAATATTTGCTGCTGATCATCGACGAAGCCAGTGGATGTATGAAGGGCTTTTGTCTACGAGTGAAGTCCGAGAGTGAAGACTACATCCGGAAATATATCACCATGGTACAGACGCAATTCTGTAAGAAGGTCAAGTTCGTGCGACACGACGGAGCTCGCGAGTTTGCAACCAACTCGCTTCAACTGTTCTACGAAGACGAAGGCATTGAACAGCAGACAACGGTGCCGTATGCACATCAAACAAACGGAACAGCAGAGCGTGCCATTAGGACTATTGTCACGATCGGCCGCAGCATGCTTCATCATGCCAAACTGGACAAGTGTTTCTGGGCCGAAGCAGCGATGACGGCCATCTACGTCAAGAATCGACTGCCGTCACCTAAAGTCGTGCACAAGACCCCGTTTGAGATCGTCTACAACTTGAAACCAAGCGTCAAGCACATGCGAACATTCGGGTGTCAGACATACATACTGACGCCTAAAGAGAATCGACTCAAGTGGGATCCAAAGGCTCGCGCTGGCATATTCGTGGGCTACGAAGAAGTGTCCAAGGCATATCGTGTATTTGACATTGAGGCGGGGTAGGTTGTTGTCAGTCAGAATGTCAACTTCGACGAGTCCACCTTTGGACTTCAACTGCCGATCACTGATGAAGATGTCGATGACCTGGACTTCGAATTGCTGGATCTTGATGACGAAGAGCTGCGTCAAATGGAGTATCAGCAAACTGGCAAGCGCAAGAACCGACTCAATGATGAAGATACAGCAGCTCCACGACCGCGTGCAGTGCGTCAACGACCAGGACTAGAAGAGTCAAGCGCGCCGGAAAACAACTCGTCACGACAAGAAGAAGACGAAGAAACGAAGGATTCTGGTGATTCAACACCGCCTGTGTTTTGGCGTGCGAGTGCAAATGCCGTTGAAGCAGCAGTGGACTTATCAGAACCCTCAACATTTGAAGCAGCAGTAAGCGGCCCTGACCAAGTGCACTGGAGAAAAGCAATTCATGCAGAGCTCGAGTCAATGCGACTTCGCGGTGTGTTTCGTGCAGCCAAGCTGCCCAACGGACAACGCGCCATTGGCACAAAATGGGTGTTCAAGATCAAGCGCAAGGCGGATGGGTCAATCGAGAAGTACAAGGCACGACTTGTGGCCAAGGGTTTCCGCCAAAAGTATGGCATCGACTACACGGAGACGTTTTCGCCTGTGGTCAAGTATGTGACGCTGCGAATGGTGATCGCAATTTCCAAGCATTTTGGATGGCCCATCGACCAGCTTGATGTGGTGACAGCTTTCCTGTATGGCGTCATGAAGGAACAAGTGTTCTGCGTGATTCCTGAAGGCGTCGAACTTGACAGTACGTTCGACTGCCTGGAATTGGTGAAGTCAATTTACGGCCTCAAGCAAGCGTCGCGAGTGTGGAACGAGACGTTCGACGAGTATGTGTGCTCCATCGGATTTCAAGTATCGGACTTCGACCCATGTCTCTACATCAAGACTTCGGACGGCCATTGCGTGTTTATACTGGTCTACGTGGACGACGTCTTGGTGACTGGAAGCTCGCTCGAGCTGATTGCACAAACCAAGAACGACCTGAAGACGCGGTTCGAAATGACGGACAGCGGCAAGTGTGCGTTTGTTCTTGGGATCGAGCTTTTGGACGGTGAAGATGGCAGTGTGACACTATGTCAGCGTCGGTATGTCGATGATATCCTCAAGCGCTTTGGCATGGATGATTGCAAGGCAGTCGCAAGTCCAGTCGACATGAGCTCTCGACTTGTTTCAAGTGATGCAACTACCAAGGTCGATGCTCCTTTTCGCGAAGCTGTTGGTGCGTTGATGCACCTGACCACTGCAACGCGTCCGACATTGCGTTTGCTGTGGGCTATGTGTCGCGGTTCATGGAAAATCCCCAAGAAGAACACTGGGTTGCAGTTAAGCGTATCTTTCGCTACCTACAAGGCACCAAGACGCATGGAATTTGCTACAAGCCAAGTGCAAGGATCGACTTCCGTGGATATTCGGATGCGGATTGGGCTGGTGATCTTACCGACCGCAAGTCAACATCGGGGTACACGTTCATGCTACTCGGTGCGCCTGTTGCATTGTAGATCGGAGCGAGGAAAGCGGAGCGAACGGAGCGGAGAGACCGAAGAGAGTAGAGCAGAAAACACTTGCCCAATAGTTGGAAGATTCGAAAGTGATTGATTATCGGGGCTTACTACTTTACTACATGATTTATATGTGGTGTACATATAAATCATGTGAAGCGTCTCATCATCCTACGCGTCTAATCAACTATGGTAATTACCGTAAGAACTACGTCGTAAATACTAAGCTGAACAGGCGGTTCGGATTGGATCGGTCACGGTTACCAATACTGGTTGAAACCGATGACCGTCAACACGCCCCCTCAATCCGAATGCTCACGAATCCCGAGAGTCGCCGTCATCTCCTTGTGGCGTGGCCCGTGAAGTCCCTTCGTCATGATGTCCGCTAACATCACCGCAGTTTCACAGTACTTGAGCTTCACTTCACCGCGCTTGACCTCATCACGGATGTGATGGTACTTGATATCAATGTGCTTGGCACGGCCGTGGTTGACTGGGTTCTTCGTCATCTTGATACACGACTGATTGTCTTCATGGATCATGAGTTCCGGTCCTTCTTCATTGGCAGCCATCACGATCTCACAAAGCAGACGATGAATCCACTTGCCCTCTTGGATCGCCAAGCTGAGTGCGATGTATTCGGCTTCACTCGTGGACAACGAAACACTTGGCTGCTTCTTGCTGCCCCAACTGACTGGCGCACCGAGTAGCATGAACGTGTACCCCGATGTTGACTTGCGGTCGGTAAGATCACCAGCCCAATCCGCATCCGAATATCCACGGAAGTCGATCCTTGCACTTGGCTTGTAGCAAATTCCATGCGTCTTGGTGCCTTGTAGGTAGCGAAAGATACGCTTAACTGCAACCCAGTGTTCTTCTTGGGGATTTTCCATGAACCGTGACACATAGCCCACAGCAAACGCAATGTCCGGACGCGTTGCAGTGGTCAGGTGCATCAACGCACCAACAGCTTCGCGAAAAGGAGCATCGACCTTGGTAGTTGCATCACTTGAAACAAGTCGAGAGCTCATGTCGACTGGACTTGCGACTGCCTTGCAATCATCCATGCCAAAGCGCTTGAGGATATCATCGACATACCGACGCTGACATAGTGTCACACTGCCATCTTCACCGTCAAAAGCTCGATCCCAAGAACAAACGCACACTTGCCGCTGTCCGTCATTTCGAACCGCGTCTTCAGGTCGTTCTTGGTTTGTGCAATCAGCTCGAGCGAGCTTCCAGTCACCAAGACGTCGTCCACGTAGACCAGTATAAACACGCAATGGCCGTCCGAAGTCTTGATGTAGAGACATGGGTCGAAGTCCGATACTTGAAATCCGATGGAGCACACATACTCGTCGAACGTCTCGTTCCACACTCGCGACGCTTGCTTGAGGCCGTAAATTGACTTCACCAATTCCAGGCAGTCGAACGTACTGTCAAGTTCGACGCCTTCAGGAATCACGCAGAACACTTGTTCCTTCATGACGCCATACAGGAAAGCTGTCACCACATCAAGCTGGTCGATGGGCCATCCAAAATGCTTGGAAATTGCGATCACCATTCGCAGCGTCACATACTTGACCACAGGCGAAAACGTCTCCGTGTAGTCGATGCCATACTTTTGGCGGAAACCCTTGGCCACAAGTCGTGCCTTGTACTTCTCGATTGACCCATCCGCCTTGCGCTTGATCTTGAACACCCATTTTGTGCCAATGGCGCGTTGTCCGTTGGGCAGCTTGGCTGCACGAAACACACCGCGAAGTCGCATTGACTCGAGCTCTGCATGAATTGCTTTTCTCCAGTGCACTTGGTCAGGGCCGCTTACTGCTGCTTCAAATGTTGAGGGTTCTGATAAGTCCACTGCTGCTTCAACGGCATTTGCACTCGCACGCCAAAACACAGGCGGTGTTGAATCACCAGAATCCTTCGTTTCTTCGTCTTCTTCTTGTCGTGACGAGTTGTTTTCCGGCGCGCTTGACTCTTCTAGTCCTGGTCGTTGACGCACTGCACGCGGTCGTGGAGCTGCTGTATCTTCATCATTGAGTCGGTTCTTGCGCTTGCCTGTTTGCTTGTACTCCACTTGACGCAGCTCTTCGTCATCAAGATACAGCAATTCGAAGTCCAGGTCATCGACATCTTCATCAGTGATCGGCAGTTGAAGTCCAAAGGTGGACTCGTCGAAGTTGACATCGCGGCTGATAACCACCTGCCCCGCCTCGATGTCATAAACACGATATGCCTTCGAAACTTCTTCGTAGCCCACGAATATGCCAGCGCGAGCCTTTGGATCCCACTTGAGTCGATTCTCTTTAGGCGTCAGTATGTATGTCTGACACCCGAATGTTCGCATGTGCTTGACGCTTGGTTTCAAGTTGTAGACGATCTCAAACGGGGTCTTGTGCACGACTTTAGGTGACGGCAGTCGATTCTTGACGTAGATGGCCGTCATCGCTGCTTCGGCCCAGAAACACTTGTCCAGTTTGGCATGATGAAGCATGCTGCGGCCGATCGTGACAATAGTCCTAATGGCACGCTCTGCTGTTCCGTTTGTTTGATGTGCATACGGCACCGTTGTCTGCTGTTCAATGCCTTCGTCTTCGTAGAACAGTTGAAGCGAGTTGGTTGCAAACTCGCGAGCTCCGTCGTGTCGCACGAACTTGACCTTCTTACAGAATTGCGTCTGTACCATGGTGATATATTTCCGGATGTAGTCTTCACTCTCGGACTTCACTCGTAGACAAAAGCCCTTCATACATCCACTGGCTTCGTCGATGATCAGCAGCAAATATTTGCTGCCACCGAGCGAATCCTTTTCCATGGGCCCGCAGATGTCCAGATGAAGTAGCTCAAACGTATCGTAGCTGCGCTTGTCTCGGTTGCTTGGAAATGGTTTTTGGACCATTTTCCCTTGTTGACATCCTCGACATGTAGTTGCTCCACCCGACTTGAGAGGGACTCGCACATCCTTGATCATGTTGGTCGCGATCATCTTGCGAAGTACATCGACTGGAGCATGACCCATTCTTGCATGTAGATCGGCACAACTGGTTCCACTTGTTGTCACATTCGCTGATCGTTGAGTCGTCCGAAGCCAGTAGAGTCCATCCACGAGATCCGCTGTCGCCACCACTTGCTGTGAGTTCTTGAGAGTCACATACATCTTGGACCCGTCAAACACGACTTGAAACTTGCCATGGCTGTTAATCTGTGGCACCGAGAGCAGGTTCTTGCTCATACTTGGAACATATAGCGCGTTCTTGATTTCGATCTCACGCTCTTCACCGTTGGGCAGAACCACCTTTTCCATGATGGTTCCCACACCCTTGATGGCCACCTTGTTGCCATCAGCCACCAAGAGTTCGCCCTCATTGCGCTCTGCCAAACTTGCGAACTTGGTCTTGTCGTGGCAAATGTGGTGCGTTGCACCACTGTCGACGGCCCACATTCCAGACACGTCCTTGCTCGTCGAAACTCCACATTCGAACGAGACTGCAAACGCCACTCGATCGTAGCCATTGCCTTCATCATGATGTCCCCACTGGACATTGTTAGCCCCGCGTCCACGACCATTGCCGCCGCGTCGGGCTCCCCGACCTTCGTTCTTCTGCTTTGTCCAGCAACGATCCACCGTGTGTCCCACCTTGCCACAATACGTGCATTGGTAGGGCTCACGCTCGGCGCTGAATGCCTTGCTTGCATCTTCAGCCTTCACCGTAGTCGCTGTCGTTGTCCCTTTTTCTCCTTGACGCTTGGCATGCTCATTCGTCAGGACTCTCACCACATCTTGAGTGCGAAGCTCGGTGCTGCTCATTTCCATGTTGAGCACCACATTTTCGTAGCTCTTCGGAAGACTGAGTAGCAGACAAATTGCAACGTCTTCGTCTTCCATCTTCGCACCGATGCCGCTAAGCTTGGCGGAGATGTTGAGGACCTCGTTGCAGTGATGCATGACGTTCGCGCCTTCAGCCATCTTGATACTGAAAAGTTGTCGCTTGAGGTAGATGCGTCCTGCCTTCTGCGACCCACCGTACAGCGTCTTCAGACTTGTCCACGCAACCCAGGCTTCCTCGCAGTTGTCCAGCACATGATGGTAGTCCGCGTTCATGTGCAGCAGCATCATACCAAACGCGACGTTGCTTGCCTTGACGTAGTCATCGGACGCTCGCGGGTCGGTGAAAGTCGGAGTCACTTCACGGTTGACAACGTGCCAGACGGACTTCGTCAAAAACACACCGCGCATGTACCGGCTCCACGTTGCGTAATTGTCTCCGTTGAACTTGTCAATGGAGGCGTTGCTGGTGGACGACATGGCGCTTGGGCTCATAACCTGTTGCATTGTAGATCGGAGCGAGGAAAGCGGAGCAAACGGAGCGGAGATACCGAAGAGAGTAGAGCAGAAAACACTTGCCCAATAGTTGGAAGATTCGAAAGTGATTGATTATCGGGGCTTACTACTTACTACATGATTTATATGTGGTGTACATATAAATCATGTGAAGCGTCTCATCATCCTACGCGTCTAATCAACTATGGTAATTACCGTAAGAACTACGTCGTAAATACTAAGCTGAACAGGCGGTTCGGATTGGATCGGTCACGGTTACCAATACTGGTAGAAAACCGATGACCGTCAACAGCGCCAGTCAGTTGGGGCAGCAAGAAGCAGCCAAATGTTTCGTTGTCCACGAGTGAAGCCGAATACATCGCACTCAGCTTGGCGATCCAAGAAGGCAAGTGGATCAATCGCTTGCTGTGCGAGATCATGGCGGCTGCAAACGAAGAAGGACCCGAGCTCGTCATCCGTGAAGACAATCAGTCGTGTATCAAGATGACGAAGAACCCAGTCAACCACGGCCGTGCCAAGCACATTGATATCAAGTACCATCACATCCGTGATGAGGTCAAGCGCGGTGAAGTGAAGCTCAAGTACTGTGAAACTGCGGTGATGTTAGCGGACATCATGACGAAGGGACTTCATGGGCCACGCCACAAGGGGAGATGACGGCGACTCTCGGGATTCGTGAGCATTCGGATTGAGGGGGCGTGTTGACGGTCATCGGTTTTCTACCAGTATTGGTAACCGTGACCGATCCAATCCGAACCGCCTGTTCAGCTTAGTATTTACGACGTAGTTCTTACGGTAATTCACCATAGTTGATTAGACGCGTAGGATGATGAGACGCTTCACATGATTTATATGTACACCACATAAAATCATGTAGTAATAGTAAGCCCTGATAATCAATCACTTTCCGAATCTTCCAACTTATGGGGCGAGTGTTTTCTGCTCTACTCCTCCTCTCGGTCTCTCCTCACTCCGTTCGCTCCGCT